ATCTCAAGATTAAACATTAATCTCCATCTTAGGCAGACCTACGGATTAATTCTATCTCAGGATCAAACATTAATCTCCATCTTAGGCAGACCTACGGATTAATTCAATCCAGGATTAAACATTAATCTCCGTCTTAGACAGACCTACGGATTAATTCAATCTCAGGATTAAACATTAATCTCCATCTTAGGCAGACCTACGGATTAATTCAATCTCAGGATTAAACATTAATCTCCATCTTAGACAGACCTACGGATTTATTCAATCCGTCTTTGTCTCCCAGAGTGGTCTACATCCTGCAGAGCTAACTATATTGAGTAATATAATTCAGAAAAATGTCCAAGGTGCTCAAATTGGATTTCTTGATCAATCGTTGACGATTAACGATAATCCACACAAGAGTTTCAACCACTGAACATACAATTTAATGCTTCATGTGGCTTTTCTATTTAAATCCTTAACCTTTCTGAGGAAGAAATGAGAAGATAATGTTGGAGTTTCCGTCTGCCAACAGCAGACCTTTAACTTCAACTTCAATACTCTGATCTATCCAGGTCTAAAAATGAACAATCATGAAGAACAAATTATTTATCATCTTTGCTCAAAAGGGGATGGTGGAGTTGGCACATTTGATGTAGGCTTTATGCATATCAAACGAAAGCTAGGAACCATGGTAATAAAGTAGTAGTAAATGGTAGTAGAGCTAAAGTGTTAAGATCTACATTATGCATATCAATTAAAAGCTAGGAACCCCAGGAATACAGTAGCAGCAACAAATCCAGTGTATTGTCTGGGTTCATGGCTTTTGATTGATAAACATAAATCCTTATTTAGAACATTTTCAATTTGGAGGTCATTACAGGTCGTTAGAGGTCACTAGAAAGTCAAACATTGGATTTGTTGCTGCTACTCGATTCTTTGGGGGTTACTAATGTTTGTTTGACATGCCTAAAGCCATTTTAAATATTATCATGGAGGTTATTGAAGGTCATTGTAGGTCATTAGAAGTTCAAACACTAGATTTGTTGCTGCCAATGTATTCTCTAGTTCCTAGCTTTCATTTGAAATACATACTATGGTTAAAACATTTTCAATTTGGAGGCCATTAAAGGTTGTTAGAAAGACAAACACTGGATGCGTTGCTGCTTCTGTATTCCCCTGGGTCGTAGCTTTCTTTTCATATGCTTAAAGTCATAGTTATAACATTTTTATTTTGAGGTCATTTAAGGTCATTAGATGGTTAAACACTGGATTCGTTGCTGCTACGGTCCCCTACATCAAATGTGCCAACTCCACCATCCCCTTTAATTTCTTTTGAGGATTCCATTGATGCATTTTTAAAAATTATGTAATAATTTTTGAAAGAAAAAAAATCGATTTTTTTCGCCTTTATTATATTAAATATATAAACTTGTTAATTTTTACAAGAACCATGTTCAATAATAAAATAAGTATTCAATAACTTCTAATTATTTAACCTGACACTTGGTGGATACTTTCAAGTTCTCTAGACAGGATTCTTTCAGTTCTTTGCTAGAATATGTTAATCTTAGGAGGAAAAAAATGTAATAATGGAAATTCTTAAACTCGATGAAATAATCTTGATGTATTCTTTAATAAAACTTTCCAAGATTTCTTGTATTCTGTTCAAGTCTGCTTTTATATGAAATAACTTTCAATATTTCAAAACTGTATTCTGTTCTAGTCTGCTCTTATACGACATAACTTTCAATATTTTTAAACTGAATTCTGTTTTAGTCTGCTTTTATTTCATAAAACTTTCAAGATTTCAAAACTGTATTCTGTTCTAGTCTGCTCTTATACGACATAACTTTCAATATTTGTAAACTGAATTTTGTTCTAGTCTGCTTTTATTTCATAAAACTTTCCAAGATTTCAAAACTGTAATCTGTTCTAGTCTGCTCTTATACGACATAACTTTCAATATTTGTAAACTGAATTCTGTTCTAGTCTGCTTTTATTTAACAAAACTTTCAAGATTTCAAAACTGTTTTCTGTTCTAGTCTGCTTTTATTTAACAAAACTTTCAAGATTTCTAAACTGTTTTCCGTTCTAGTCTGCTTTTATTTAACAACACTTTCATGATTTCTAAACTGTATTCTGTTCTAGTCTGCTTTTATTTAACAAAACTTTCAAGATTTCTAAACTGTATTCCGTTCTAGTCTGGTTTTATTTCATAAAACTTTCAAGATTTCTAAACTGTATTCCGTTCTAGTCTGCTTTTATTTAACAAAACTTTCATGATTTCTAAACTGTATTCTGTTCTAGTCTGCTTTTATTTCATAAAACTTTCAGGATTTCTAAACTGTATTCTGTTCTAGTCTGCTTTTGTTTAACAAAAACATGTTCGATTTTTGCACAATTTTCTGTCAGGGTTAAAATTTTGCATAATGTCGGAAAACTTTCATGATTTCTAAACTGTATTCTGTTCTAGTCTGCTTTTATTTAACAAAACTTTCAAGATTTCTAAACTGTATTCTGTTCTAGTCTGCTTTTATTTAATAAAACTCAAGATTTCTAAACTGTATTCTGTTCAAGTCTGCTTTAATTTAATAAAACTTTCAAGATTTCAAAATTGTATTCTGTTCAAGTCTGCTTTTGTTTAACAAAAACATGTTCGATTTCTGCACAATTTTCTGTCAGGGTTAAAATTTTGCATAATGTCAGAAAAGCAAAAACAATTTTAAAACATTTTATCTTCCTTCAAGTTTTGACTCTGATACGACGATTTAGGCAAAAAATTAACCATGAACAAACCAACTTAATTTCAATTGCACATCACCAAGTTTAAAAACTAAATCAGTTCATGTCCATTGTTTAAGTTAACCGTGCACGTGAGCAAAATTAGAGAAATCATTCAATCATTTTTTGACAGGGTCGAGATCTTCTCAAAGACCCCCACCCCATTCATATTCCAAAGTTTTATTTCAGTATCAAAATCCCTTATTAACAGATATCGAGGAAAACCTATGATGCATGTGAGGGAGACTTTCTTGCAATTACAAATTTAAATCTGGAAGTGACAAAAAATAATCAATTTTTCTTAAAAATTAAGTAAATGATGAAAATAAAAATTTCTTTGGGTAAAAGCTGAATAGTGTCTTAGCGCCAATAATAATTTTTTGGAAATACATACAGTATATTTGTCTAGATTTCCATCCCCTGGGGAAAAATTTAAATTAGACCTCATAAGACAATTTTTTTCTATCTTCCCGAAAATTTATTTATTTTCTACTAAAAATCATAATTTTCCCCAATGCAGCGAATTCAACCCTAAAAAAATACAGACGTAATAACTTCAGGGGGGGGGGNGGGGGAGGAATGACACACCCCTGTACAAACCCCTGAAGTTGTTGTCTACCTGGTATTGCTGTTGATCCTGAGGTTGATCTGTGCCCCGACAACCGCCTCTGCCTGTTCAGTTTCCACAATAAGAATATAATCTGCAGGTTCAACTCCACTAGTTCCCAGATACCCTAGACAGTAGACAACAATAATGGGACTGGTTAAAAACCGCTATAAAAACAAATATACGAAATATCCATCATCAAGTTTCTTCTTTTTATTAACTATTTTTTATCAAGTGTGGTTTTAGATTTTTCAATGAAGTGACTTGGGTATTTCAGCATCAGAAACAATGGAAGAAATTGTCATAATGAAACTGTAAGCTAGAAAATGGAACTTTAAACGGTACCACTGCAAACTGGCTTAATATTTTTTACACAATGCGTTTTTTGATGAAATCATTTAAACACAATTTTAGACATCAATCCCAATTTATAAAATAATTTACATAAATAGATGCGTAAAATCAATTCTGGTAAAATAGATGGCAACGTAGAATTTGTACACTCTCAATACAGCTGTATTCTACGTCACAAGTGTCAACTTAGTTTTTGTGTCCGACAAAATTATAAATAATAGTGATAATTTTAGAATAAGTGATTGTCTTTCAATAGAATAATTGCAATTCTAGGTTTTTTTTTATTTTCATATTTACACTTTTTTATTTCATTTTGGAAAATATGTCAACTAATGTGAGTAAATTTTGTTTTCCTTGTTATATTTGACACTTGTGACATCATGTATAAGTTGTCAATTTGTCTGTTGCCACCTATTTTACTTGATAATCTATTTGCTTAAAATTAGTTCTAAAATGTGTTGTTGAAGGAGAAAATGCAAAAAATGTGTTTTCTTTTCAAAAAAAAACTATCAAACTATTATCATTTCTTCAAAACATGGATAATTTTAGAATAGTTTGCCTAATAAAATCTTTAATAGATATCGATCAGAATTGTGTAGAAATGGTGTTAACACTGGTAAGTTCGCTCTCCGTGAAGGGAAGGCTCTCCACGCGCGAAACCGGCGAGCCCCTCTTTTTCTAGAGGATTACTTAAATTCACAACATCAGTGTCCCCTGCAGTGTTTACCTATATCCTGGATACCAAGTCTGCACGGCAAAGTTCGAAGGGTAGGATTCTTGACAGCCTTTATCCTCGAAACTGTCTCTTCAATCTAAATCACAAATTTAAAAAACTAAATAGTAATCTTCTAAAAATTCTAGTTACATACAGTAAAATGAAATTTAAGTAATTTTTTAGGAATTCTAGTTTCAGTAAAGATGAAAAGTATAACAGGCATTGATAAAGGTATCGTAAGTTGAAGTGCTCGGTGTGAAAGAAAAAAATCGAATTTTGAAAGAATAGAAATATTTTTGAATAAGATTTTTTTTTTTAGCCTATGGTACCCATGGTTTCATCAAATAAATAAGCCAATTTGGTCCAGCCGTTTGGCCAGCTTTAGCTATAATTATATATATATACATGAGCCAAGAACTTAATTATGTTCATCTTTATATAAATATGGTCTGTTTGTATCCACTGAACATCAAAACGGTTAAACCAATTGATCTATTTTTTTTTGTGACTGCTCCCACAGCCCCAGGAAAGATGCGAATAAAAACTATGCTTCGAAAAAATATCAAAATTTGACTTTTAAAATTGCAAAAAAATGGCCGTCTGAATTAATACTGAGGCGCGCCCTGGAAGCCCGCACCCTATATCAAAAATATTCTTACCTGTAGTAGAGATTGGAAGAGTAGTTCCATAGTTCTTACATCGAGTACTCCTTCCCCTGAATATTAGTTAAAATTTGCATTCAAGATCCTTAAATCCATTTAATTCTGATCCGGATCCGAATCCTGGATCCACCCTGAAGAAAAATGGATAAGTTATGACCATTTCTTCGGATAGTTTTTTTTTCCCAAAAGAACAAGAAATCACATCCACTCCAAAAAACAGAATAAATACCAAGCAACTTTTAGTTTCTACCACCAGTAAAAAAGGTTAATAATTTAACCCCCCCCCCCCCGCTGGTATTTTCGAAATGGTTTAAGAGCTTGATTCTTAAGTAGACCTTCTCCCAATTGTTATCATGTACTAAAGCATACCAAAAGATTTCTCAACGAGACGTACTTTGTCCGAACACTGATAATAGTCTTCTTCAGCCGACTTGAGATTATCCTAAATTGAAACAATTAATACTGTAAATTACAAGAATTAATAAATAGATCTAAAAAGAAAACCAAACATTAAACCCCCAACACATCTCTGGAAAAAATGTTTCCCAAGAAAATAAACACCCTGTTTTCAAAAAGTATAGGCCGGTGTCCAAAACGATGACGATTAACGATGACTTATAAATGGTCTCTTATCATTGGATCATCGACCATTTTGATAGTGTACACTTAAACCGTAAATATACAGGGTGTACCACGAAACATGCCAGTTAGTGAATAGTTGAAAATGTCTTTTTCCTTGCTTTGTTAAGTTATTTGATACCAAATGGAATACTACAAATATTATAAGGCAGTCAAATCGTAGTAAAATTGCTTTCAGAGTAAAATATATTCGAGTAAAAAAGTTGTTCAACAAAATTAATTACAGTCTTTAATATATATTACTGTATTTTAAAAGAAGACCTTCAAAACTATTCACCAACTGTCATGTTTCGTGGGACACCCTGTAGACAACTCGGCTGGCCACAGGTGTTTCAAATTGTGTTCCTTTCAAAATTATACAGAGATAATAGGAAACTTGTCCACAATTTCTCCAGATAATTAAATAGACATAGATAGCTTGTGTACACAAAATCACCAAGAATTAAACAATCCGTGAACTCGCCACTTCTAGGGGTCAACTTGTACTTCAATGGCAACCTGTTTTGCAAAGAAATGTGCCATATACGAAAAAATGCCGTAAATATATTTAAAGATCAAAGACGACCTTAAAGTCGTCTTGCTATGGTCACGTATCGTGGGTCACCCTGTATTTGAATATTTATCCTTCTGTAAATTAACTTATTTTTAAAATACCCTCTTTATCCCAGCTTTATGTCGCCTCTCAATTTCCACGTTTTAATTAGTCCCCATGTATGCACATTTTGCACAGTGCACACCCTCCCCGCAAACCTGTGATTGCTGGATTGCATCCCGGAACTGAATCCCTAGCTGGGAGAATGATTCAGCTAGTTTTCTCAAGTAAGCAGTCTTATCATTCTCCAACTATCAACTCACAATCATCATATATTGGACTATTTTTTTTTAGACAAAAATGGAACATCAGAAGTTTTCGCTTTTAAAGTGAATCTGTACAGCCATATTACAAATACATTTAGCCATATTAAATCTTTTACATCAGGTTAATTTTTTTAAATTTTTCTTCAAATGAAAAGGGGGAGGGTTGAATATTTGACATATAATGATGAACTAATATCGGCAGATTCTGAAATGTTGAGCAAAGAAATCATGCAAAAGCTGAGTTTAATATTTAAAATACGAGGGTCATTCTAAAATAATTGACAAATTTTTGACAAGAGCTTATTGACTAAACAAAACGCGTTTTATATACCTCTGGGGTCGAAATTAGCTGGCAGCAGATTAAAATAAAAATAACAAAATTCTACAATAATTTTAAGTGAAAAAAACCTGTTGAGATAATTTTTAGGTAAAAATGTCACTCAACAAATCGAGGCTATATGGGACTCTTGGGTATGTTGGGGGCATGATAATAATTTAACTTAATTTATTCTCAAACTTAGGGGTTTTCTATTTTTTCAATATGGTTAAAAATTGGCATTTTTTCTCAAAACAAACCGGTTGCATGATTTTCAAAGAAAATTTTTTTTTCAAAATTTCAGTTTTCAAATTTTTCAAAATTAAATATTTTTTCAACTTGAAGATTGTTAATTTTAGAATGATCCAAACGGAACTTATTGGAATGGTAATCCTAACGCTATGAATTTTTTACTAAAAGCAACGTTGACAATAAGAAAATTATGATATAATTTCCTGCTGTAGACCAGTCTGACGGGAGCTCACTAGTTCAGATTTCTCTTTGGACAACAGCTCTGATGTTGTCAACAAATCAGTCTAGAATATAAAAATAATTTGAATGATGCTAAGATGGAATTATGTCCGATCCACTATTGAAACCCTTATGAGAATTAATGTCTAAGATATTGTCGTTTTTTTTTGGTTTATAAATCAATTAAGCACAATATTCGTTGCCATCTTTGTAAACTGTACATTGCACACTGTAAACTGTACACTGTACAGGCAACTATTTAAACTCCTCAGAGGCCGTTCCTTCCATAAACTACATTGGTCGACAACTTCACGTCTCCTATTTTGGTCGTGAAATGTACGGAGAAATAGTGTTTTGTTCAAAAGCGTTCTTCCATGAGTTATCAGTGTCCGAGTATTGTCCGACCACAAACATATACATTGCGACCCCTATCGACTGAGGAAAAGGGAAAGCTTTTTACGAATTTGATTTGAACGCGGCAAACTATCTTAAACATAGGAAATTGTACTTTAAATTATTTTCAAATTCATAATGGATCTTAAAAAACAAGACACTGCAATCGATTTATGAAATAAAATCAGAAAGCTACTTTGATTAGTGCTGCCACCTATTCTCAAATAAATCATGGCCACAGTACGGCTAATGCACGGCTAATGATCCAAATATCGTATGGCGTGAGAAACTCTGTCCGTCCATGAATAACTCACGGGAGACATCTAGCTGAATTTAATGTATTGTCAGGTGACTTGCGCACTTATTGCTTAAAAAAACAATGGTGAAATATCTCAAATTAAGCCTTTTACGACGGCATCTTCCACATTTTTATCAGATAGAAGTTTCAAGGATACCGTTGTAGATCAGAATCTTTATTTATTAGCGGGTTACTTGAAATTACGCTGAAATATTTATCTTACCTTTCCCCTGGTAATGAACTTTGATATTATCTCCCTATCCTCCATCCTTGTCAACTAATACGTCTGAAAATAATCATGTAAGGAAATTCTCACAAAATCCAACAATACCATGCCTGTCCTAGCAGAGGCACTCGGCCCCCTGAGCCCGTTCTCTCCATAATAATGTTTAAACAGTGGTCGTGTTGTTCACGTATTTTGGGGGACAATAGTTTGACCGCTAGATGTCTCTCGTAAGAACTATCTATCTATCAGATAAGAATTTTGCGTGAGACACCTAGCGGCCAAACTATCGTCCCCCAAAGTACGTGAACAACACGGCCACTGTTTAAACATTATTATGGAGAGAACGGGCTCCGGCCAGTCCTAGCCGCAGTGCTTTGCCCAGAAAGTGTCTAAATCTAACCTAACTCTAAATATATACTAATTTAGTAGGATATTGTTGAAATAAAATTTCTGTCCGGCACTCTGGCCTTTCCTATAAGCTGCAGCGCTCGACATTGTCCTAACCAAACCTAACCCTGAAATAAAGGACGATAAGATATGTGGATTCCCCCTTAATAACAAAAATGTACATACAATTTGTATTGTAGCAGGGTTAATCTCTAACACTTTCTAGCCCAAACGCTGCGGCTCGGACAGGCGATGGGCCGGCCGCTGCGGCTAAATGTTCACCAAGTCATGTACGTTTTTATTAAAAGGGGGGAGAAGGGCAGTGGTACAAATTATTCTCTATGAATTTACCAAGATGTTGGTAATTTCCAGAGAGCGATTTTTTGGACCCCCCC